ATGGTAGAAATGTTAAATCTGAGATTAGGAATACTCTTTTCTTTTTAACTTACCTTTCATGACAATATCTTTCATTTCACGTGAGGAAAACTTTACTCAAAGAATTTTACATTCAAAAGAACGATGCTTTTAAATGTGGTTTCAATCTCTTGCTACTCAAACTGAAACACAAACGAGCCTGATTTTGTGTCACTAATCAGAGAAAACCCACGGAATACGAGCGGGTCTGGAACTGACCCAAATATTATCAGGCTGCATGTGTAAAAGTATGTCCAGAGATCTCTTATTGTAAAAAAGAATATAATTGGCAACACAACTAAAATTCAACAACTTTTCCCATTTTTCAGAATGATTAGACATTTGCAAACGGTTTTTAAAGCAGGAGAAATATTGAAAAGTCCACATTATTTCAGAAAACAGAAACAACGCTTCTGTTAGACGGCATCCCAAACCAACCCTCCCAGTCTTCAATCGACACACGTGCAGAAAGACAGAAAAAGCAGATTATTGCCAGCGGGAAAAGAAACTTACATTCCCAGACATTTTGTCTAGTTCACTCATGGCCTCGTGTATAGCAGCTTCTAAATGGTTATTTAGCTTTCCACTTCTAGGAAGGAAAAAAAAAACACAACGCCATCAGTACTAATTCTTAGAAGCAGAAATAAAACAACTTTTAAAAACTTAGTAATAAACACATTGACTCACTGGGTATATTCTAGGGGCTGCGGAGCCTCCCAGGGGGTTACAGCGCAAAGAGCCAGCCCAGACTACATACAGTATTATGCAAACTAAAGGCTTGTGTTATAATTACAGCAGAAAAAAGAAAGCCAGCCCTTCAGTGAGTTGTATGGTTTGTTACAAACAGCCACGAGACGGATTACATCTATGAATAAAAAGGCAAAATAGCGTTTTGTGCAATTTTTTTTTTTTTTTTTTAAATCATTAGCGAAGGGCCAGAGTCTGATGGGTTTTGCCCAGGAGCAGGCGGGGAATAACTCCAGCTACTCTGGACCTTCTTGCACAAGGCCAAGTGCAAGGTCCTACATGTGGGTCGGGGCAACCCCAAGCACAAATCCAGGCTGGGTGGGGAACGGCTGGAGAGCAGCCCTGAGGAGAAGGCCCTGGGGGTGCTGATTGATGAGAAGCTCAACATGAGCTGGCAATGCGCAATCACAGCCCAGAAAGCCAACTGTATCCTGGGCTGCATCAGAAGAAGTGTGGCCAGCAGGTCAAGGGAGGGGATTCTGCACCTCTGCTCTGCTCTGGTGAGACCCCACCTGGAGTACTGCATCCAGCTCTGGAGCCCCCAACATAAGAAGGACATGGACCTGTTGGAGCGGGGCCAGAGGAGGCCACGAGGATGATCCGAGGGCTGGAGCCCCTCTGCTGGGAGGAGAGGCTGAGAGAGTTGGGGCTGTTCAGCCTGGAGAAGAGAAGGCTCCGGGGAGATCTTATTGCTGCCTTCCAGTCCCTAAAGGGGCTCCAGGAGAGCTGGGGAAGGACTTTTTACACGGGCATGGAGCGATAGGACGAATGGCTTTAAACTGGAGGAGGGCAGGTTTAGATTAAACATTAGGAAGAAATTTTTCCCTGTGCGGGTGGTGATCCCCTGGGGCAGGTTGCCCCGAGAAGCTGTGGCTGCCCCATCCCTGGAGGGGTTCAAGGCCAGGTTGGACGGGGGTCCACAAAGCTCAAAGTTAAATATCCCTTCCAACTTTAAATAACCAGAGGAAAATAAGTTGTGTTAGTCCTCTAATATGTTGCTAGTTTCACCTCAGAATGACAGCACACCGAGGGCTATGGTAAAGGTAAGAAGACTTTTTTCTTCCAAACCAAAAGTTGCCCCGAGTCATTGAGCAGCTCCACACACATCTGATTTCACAGGGACATCTTTGATTTATGTACATTTCATTTTTTTAAAGAAGTTTCCCACTGGAACACCATGCTCTGCACCACAGGTCATACTTGTGGGGCTCCGTGTTCACACCTCAGAGTTTCATGCTAGCAAACGGTACTGGAGCACACGGTACCGTCGTTTGTTGACCGCTTGTTGAGGATCTATGCTTAAAAGTGGGCATATATGTATTTATATTTAGATAGGCTGGTTCATTCATGACTTCAACTGAATAGGTAGATTTAGAAGAGTAATGAACACGAAGAGAAGTGGCTGAATAGTAGACATGAGAGAGAGATCATCCTGGAGATGAGAGACGTTATTCTGAGCATCCATCACAATGTCCTCAGGAAGTACTGACGTCCTGTTATCGGAGATGCAGAAATGAGGGGAGGAGTAAGAGAGCCATCTGCATCATGAGGGAAAATTACGGCAGAGGTAGGTGAGAGAACAGCTCGTCCCAAGCTGGCAAGGATAGCGGGTCACGAGGACTGTCCTTCACAGGAGACACTTTCTAAAAAAATCCCCTTTCTTTTTAATAAAGAGAGAAAGATCATCATGTCAGCTGGGACATTCTTCCCTGGGACTTTAAGATTTATAGCAACTAAAAGCACCGGCAAAAGCCTGCCAGGGAAGTAGCAGAGATGCACCGTCCACCCAGCGGTGCTCTACACTAACTCCATCCCCTGAGTTCAGCAAAAGGATTTTCACACCCGTCAGTTCAGCTGGGAGATGGAAGACAGGAGACCAGAGGGTCTGTTATTCATTACTCAACTAAGATATTCCCTGGCACCGTTTTGCATTGGTCATCTGTGCTGCACCAGGGCAGGAATTGCACCAAAAATGACAAAAGCGAGAAGCCTTCCTGACCTGACTGCACAACGGTGAAGTACAATAAGACTTCATGCACTTATGAAGATGCACGAATTTAACTAAGGCTTTGAATGAATGAGTTAAAACAGTGGTAAAGGAGTTTTGCACAACTTTAACATTATATATGCAGTTGTAGTTTAAATCAACTGGAGAAACGATAAGATAAACTGAAATAAAGAGTCTCCTACCAAGCCCGAGACCTCCACCTGGGTCTCTGCACTGCTTGAGCCAGACTGCTCGCAAAACCAAGTTTAAGTTATGCACCTTGGACAAGTGAAGGCACCCTTAGATACCACAAGTAACGAACAAAATATTGTTTAGTGGCAGCATAACTTCCTAAAAAGATAATATGACTCTGTTTATAATGCAGGTATCTTAATAACTGACAACATTGCTGACCTGCATGTCATTTAGAAGCAGACTGCAGATGTCAAGTTACCTGTATGAGATGTAAAGTTGTTTAATCACCATTATGCTCTATCAGCAACCCACCCTTTCTACAGTATCTATGAAATTATTGCTACAACCATTTGAAAATATTTCAAATGTAAATGATCATCTGAATTGCAGTCTTAAGACGCTGTTGTTGTGTTCATTTTACTATGAAGACGATGATCTGCCTCGAGCAAATCAAAGTTTCAGAAGTGCCCATCACTGAAATACCCATTTACTGCAGACAAAACACTGCAGCTAAAAACGTGAGAATTTGACATCAGATAAACACATGCATCAAGCCTGCAGTGATGCAAACCAACCTGTAGATATCACAATTTTTGTCACATTACATTTAAAAGATTCTAGCACCAGTTTGTTCCTGCACACCATCTCTTAGAAAACCTCTCGTGGTCAACAGCTTTGAAGAGGGATTTAAATTCCTTCCCTTGGGAAGGGAGGATAACCTTTTTGTCAGAAGTGTTCTTTTAATCCTCCTCCCTACCAGGGCACATTGAAATTGTACTGACTTGTACCATCAAAATGAAGTCTGAGCATGTGCTGAGTTGACGTTCCCTCCCATAGTGGACATACTCCAGACCTCACTTGCCATTGCTGCTCTGGGCAGTGCTAACAGGGAATGTCTGTATCACGCCTAGAGAAGACAGAGGCTTAGACTGTGCCAGGATGGAGACTGACTGGAGCTGGAAGTTGGCAAGGCGGTGGAAGAGATCATAGAATCGTTACGGCTGGAAAAGACCTTTAAGATCATCAAGTCCAACCATTATCTAACTCTACTGGGCCCACTTCTAAATCATGTCCATGGGCACCGTATCTAGACGGCTTTTAAATACATCCAAGGATGGCGATTCAACCACTTCCCTGGGCAGCCAGTTCCAGTCTTCCATAACCCTTTCAGTGTAGAAGTTTTTCCTAATGTCTAATCTAAACCTCCCCTAGCACAACTTGACGCCATTTCTTCTTGCCCTATCGGTTGTAACTTGTGAGAAGAGACCAATGCCCCCCCTCTCTACACCCTCCTTTCAGGGAGCTGTAGAGAGCAAAAAGGTCTCCCCTCAGCCTCCTTTTCTTCAGACCAAACACCCCCCAGTTCCCTCAGCCGCTCCTCATAAGACTCAAGATCCCTCACCAGCTTCGTTGCCCTTCTCTGGACCCTCTCCAGAACCTCAATGTCCTTCTTATACTGTGGCGCCCAAACCTGAACACAGTACTCAAGGTGTGGCCTCACCAGATGAGTTATTTCTTCCCTTACTGGAGTTCTGTTCAACTTTGAACACGGCCACGTGTCCAATAGGAGGGACGTCAGCAACTTAACTGTTCAATGCTAAGAAGCCACGTTCAAACTCCATTTTGAAATAACGTAGTATGGATGGTAGGAATGGTAATGGTAGGGGTGGTAAATGGCACATTCCCGACAAAAGAGAAGCGTGGTGTGGGAAATAACACACTAAAGAACAGGAAACCACAGGAGGAGGACACTGGTATTGGGTGAGGACCCTTGGAAGATGCTTTGCACGCAGTGGGACAGGAGAATGCTAGTGGACAGAGGAATACAGGTAACTATGAAGCCTGTGGAGAGCAAAGATTGGCTCAGATGAGGCTTTGATAAAGGAAGACTGGGCCTCCAGCAGATAGTCTTCTAGAGACTCCAACCAGATAGGTGAGGAAGCACCTATCTTCTTGCTTGCGGGAAGCAAGAAGAGACCTAGCTCAGAAAAGAACAGAATGGCTGAGATGAGATGGCACTGAGAAAGGTTGGAGTGGCTCAGTGGTTTGTACCAGAGCGCATCTTCCTACAAGGCCCAGAATGAAAACGATGGTTTCCGAGTCACACCATGCCTCTAAGACAGCCCCAAGCAAAACACCTCACCATTTTCTAGTAAAGCGCTACACAAAATGCCTTAGATCATACTGTTAGTGGAAGTTACAAAGCTCCGTGCAGTACACCTAAAGTATTTGACTACGCTCATCAAACGCGCTACTATGACATTTTTCCTGGTGTCTTGTTTAGAAACCTAAGGAACCGAATACACAAAACATTCCCGTTTTAAAACCTAATACTTAAGGTTAGATTAAGATTTACAACTCACAAACACCGGATTTAGGGTGCAACCGATTACATCCCTATTATAGTACAGTTAGCTTTGCAGAGATTTTTAATCTTTAATTTAGTTTTAATAATTTTATTTTTAATATAGTATATAAATATATAGTGTTGGAGATTGAGTTGAGACTACGCAGTGAAGGAGACTACTGCAGTAGTCCCATCAGCAACAGTTCTTGCCAAAATTGGACAATATACTAGGGCTGCGACAAGAGCTGTAGGAACACAATGAATAGTTTATGGGGTTAAGGCATCGGAATGTCATTTGGAGGACCCGGATGCTAACCCAGATGCTCTGCTAAACACACTGGACCTATGCGATGCTAGTCCACGCTCCCTCATCATAAATTTCTCGCGGGTCTCTTTGCCCACGTCTTCTTTACTACGGAAGTGTTCGACTTGAGGCCAGTACACGATACGTGTAAGTGCTGAGTACTTACACAGACAGCGAACAGAAATGTAAGTGTTCTTTATGTAGCAATTACAGCTAACGCTAAATGTTTTAAAAAATCTGCCCTGCGTGTAACGAGATACTACAGAGACATACACCAGAGAGAAGACCATAGGAGATTAGTAACCTTTCAAATAAATTTAAACCAGTACACAGGTAAAAGAGGAAGGGTCCATGAAAGAAATACCAAAAGATTCGAAATATGAAGTAAGAAATAAGGAGGAAAAACCCGTCAGGGCTGTAATGCAACCCTACGAAAGGGGCAACCAGGTGCCCCAGAGCGTCTGGGGTATTTGATAGCTCCTGTTTCCTTACGGGCAAGCAATGGGGCAGAACCAGACATGCCACAAAAAAAAAGGCCATTGGATTCAGTGGAACTGCAGACAATCCTTGCAGGCTGCTAAATATACAAATGCAAATTAGAAGATGAGAGTTTTTCTTAAATTGTACTGTTTACTTCAACTTTAACACCTCTTTAAATTTGCTCCTGGTGTCACCTTCCTTGAGTCACGTATTTCGCTTCAGGGACACGAGCAAATAACTGGGGAGTTGCCAAAAGCCCTTTTATGTTCTCACCGCACATCCTTAAACTCCCGTAAGATATTTTGAGGATGATCTTGGAAAAAACAACCACCGACATTGTCTCATTGGCATAAAAAAATACTTCTCTTAAGCACCGCGTGACATATAAATAGAAGAAAAGCTTACACCTTAAAAGGAGCTGAAGACAAATAATTATTTAATTCCCTTAAGCCTATGTTTATTGTGCTAAAGACAAGTATTGCCAGCTGACTTTAAATTCTCACACAGATTCAAAGTAATACTTTTTCACTGCAACAGTAAATAAGCAACAGCATCCTAGCACAAATTCAGTCATAGTACAATTTCCACTCTTCTATCCTTTTATAGCTGTCCAGATTTTTTTTCTCCTAAATCAACCATTTTCCTCTTTTTGTCTACGCTGATGCTTCATGTCCTAGTACTTACTGTTTCGCGGTCCTTCTATCCTTGTATATTTGTAAATAAAAGCTAAAAGGCAAGATAAAACCCAACAGTTCACCCACGTCTGACACAAAGCTCTGCACTGAGCCCCTTGTCTGCTTAAATACAGCCAGACTTCACAAATTGCGAAACGCTTCTCAGTGACGGGAAATAAACTGAATTTATCTGAATAAAGCTGTGCTCTGCCTGCAGCAGCAGCTGCCAGAGGGAGAGGGGAGAGATAAGAAGGGCAGATCTTGTTAAAAAGCGTATTTGGTCAGAATAGTTTTGATGTAATAACTTTTTTTTTTGGCTGTAAATTAGAAATCCTACACATGAAAGCTCAAACAAGTAGGCTGACATTTTACAAAGGCTACTGTAAATATCAGAAGATGCAATAAAAATGCAGCTATCAAAGATCTCGGATGATTATCATAACCAACACAAGAAATTCAGAAAATTAACTCTTCAGTTTGGCCGATCTGCCTAATCTCCCTCGAATGAGAATCTCAGGAAGGAAAAGAATTTCATTATTCCATTTCACGAGTAAATAAACGAGCGTTTACTTACTTTCTGTTCCTTTTTCTGGCTCGGTTGTAAGCTTCTAGACCTTCTGTTAGTGTCTTCAACTTCTCTGGCTCCACCTGAGTGAAGGTATGAACACCAAACCACATTACCCAGACCTGCAATTATTAAACACTGCTTTTACTTTACTGCTAGACATGCATTATTATGGAGCCTAATTTTCACTGCATCCATAAGACTGTAACTTTCCCAGCAAAGAATAAATTAATAGATGGATATATACACCCCCTCATACATATACGTATCTAATTATAATTTCTCTGGATGTCCACACCGCTAGCAATAGAAATACAAAAAAACCAAACCCACGACAGTTAAGAAAACGAAACGAAGAAGGAAAATAGTATTTTTAAAACCTCGTTTGTCTCTATATTATTAATATGAACACTGTTGCTAAAGTCTCACATTCTGTACTTATATTTTACAAATGTATTTTACACCTTTGAGACCACCTGGAACGCATTAAAATACCAAGCTGCCTAGTACACATGATACCATTTTTACAGATGCCATCAACACAAAAGCTTTTCGCATCACCTCAAATGTCTGGATAAAGCGTTTAAGGCTCAACAACGCCGCTCACGGCACGGCCCAATTCATTCCTGTTTCAGAAGAGCCACAGTACGTGCTAAAGTTAAAAGGGGGGCGGGCAGGGTGACAAGCTTTATTTATGCATTATGGATCTACGTCTCAACTAGGGCTCGCTTTAGCCCGATAATTTATCGGTCCGGAGAAAAGTCTTTGTAAATTTTCTTACTTAAGCACATACTTCAGCAAAGCACTTCAGTCAGGAATGAATTTGAGCGCGTGCTCAACAGGGCCGCTGAGCTGCTGTTTCAACTGGGAATTTAAATTCTCTTGAAATCAACCGGAGTGATAATCTTTTAAGCAATCTGTATAGAAACCACCGCATATCATCACTGGCACCGCTGCATAGGTACAAGGTAGTACTAGCCCAAACAATACAAACATCAAAGAAAAGTCATTACATCATCTGTATGATTTTATCATTTGCATTCTCAAAACATTAGTCCACTTAACTCTGCGTATTATTTTGATTTGGCTCAGTCATTTCTGCTTGTAAAAACAAAAAAAGGTATTTCAACACATCAATTTGAAGAAAATGAAAGGATAAATTCCTTTTTCTTTGTCAGTATTGCTACATTTTGCTTGACTTATTTTTTAATCTTCGCATAACTTAACTAGAACCTTATATAGCATTTGTTTCATTAAAAAGTACAGCTTGTATTTTGACACAAGGAAAATTAATTCTATAAATACAAATTTATTAAGCATGCCTATATACAATCCCAAAAAGAAATCTAAATGCAAATTCCCTCTAAACCTAGCCTTTCAATCACTAAATAATTTATATTCACCATGGAACTGAATTTTAGACGTGACAATGTGAAGTTAATGAGCGAGCAAGTTGTCAAAATCTCTAGAAATAAGGCCCAATATAATACATGTTTAGAGCAAATTTCACATGTCTTGAACTTACGCATCCGATAATGAAATTGGGGAATACTGCCGTTTCAGGAACTTACGAGACAAGAGTCATTATTGCTGAAATCCGCACATGGGGAGGCAAGATGTCTATTTTCATGAAATAGATTCAATTATGCCATTGTAATGCTTTCCCCTTAAAACCGTGCTTAGTTTTAATGTAAGGCTGTGAATACTTCAAATAATACCTCTCCTAATCAAGACTTTGGAAAAATACAAATGCATACATAAGACATACTACCTATTTAAAACCTGCGGAGCTTTTCTAAGGATAAACATGAGAAGAAAAGGCACACAACACTCCCAGAATGAGCAAACCGGCTTCAGAAGCTTATTCGTTACATCTCTCACATTAAACTGGCATTATCAGAGGCAACGTTACTCTGTCTGAGATACACTACAGCTCAAGCCTTCATTTAATAGAACGTTTGAAAAACAGCTAAAGAAACAACTTGTATTTTTTCAACCTGAACAGAATTAAAGGGCGATAACATAATCGTCTTGATCCTTTACCTTGGACACTGTACTATGTGACAGAGTTGTCATGAACGCTAAACTGTACCTTATCGATAGCCACGATACGTATGTGCATATAAGGAACAAACCCTGCAAAAGGTTGTATATGTCTGCCATTAGATATGTGGGAAAGTTTAATGGGAAATATGTTTATGAAGAGCTAATATCACATTTGGGCCAAGAGCTACTACCACGTTTGGGTGACACGGGACTTAAGTAACAAAAAGAAATCACTATCTTCATTATCAGAATTTTGTGATGGTAGAACAGTAAAAAACCTGCCGGCACTTTTTTTAAGAAGTAGTATCAAATTGCTAACGGAACATGGTGTTGGAAGCAACTATAACAGATATATTTGAATTGATGATATCATATGCCTTCATGTACAATAAGCCATGACAACACTAAATAATACATATAAATGGGACTTTCAGGACACTGATAAATCACAGCTATTATTTTGTGTAACGCTATAAAAGCTCGGTTTAAAAAACCTAGTTTACCTGCTGGAAAGTCCTACTGAGACCAATCCTTGCCCCGTACGAATCGCTACAAAATGCACTAATACCAGGGAACTACTGCTCACACAAACCCTCTGACTTTCACACTGTTGCTCTCAAAGCCTTGCTCCTGTTTAGGTCATTTGATTTGGATAATAATCAAATTAATTACTTAAAGAAATACGCATCCTCCGTTTTAGGATGCAGGTAGCTTCAGGCTCGCTTTTTTCCTTTTCAGACATTTCTGCTGCTACTGCTGCGCTTCCCTTGGGTTCCTCTTTAATTTTCCAACAGCCAAAAAGCACGTGTTCATTAGGAAACAAAGAGGCAATATTCCTCCCTTCTCCTGTTAGGGAAACACCGTTCCAGCTGCTCTTCAAACAGAAGCATTATTACTTTTAACACCCAAAGTCTTTTAAATGGAAACAAAAATCAAATTATGTATGATATAAAGAACAGAGCATACACAAAGGCCCATGAAATCCCGACAGCATAGCAAAAGTAATGTTACAATATAGGAGGTTCATATTTGTTTATACAAATACTTTAAAATCCGTTTTAAGAAAGTTCTGCAGAAAATACAATTTCCAGAACTGGTGCTAGTGACTCCCACCACAAATTGTGACCTTTCAGGATTTTTTGAAGCGCAGAATTTCTGAAGACCATTTGATTGTCAAGCTTCTTTCTTTTTTGGTTTTCAAGGTTGTTCTTTTTGGTTTGGTCTTGGTTGGGTTTTTTTGGTGTTTGGTTTTTTTTTTTTTTTTTCCTTCAGACCAGGCTGCCCAAACATCTGAAGAATGTAGCTGTGCAACATGTTATAGGAGCGTTTGAACACGTGTACAGATTGCCACTGCGCATGGGAGTTCCTGCTATTTTTAAGTAAAAAGAACCATTATATAGCACATGCACATTTTCACCTCTTCCACTGTATCCCACCTTTCACCCTCAACTCCTGACCTTCAGAACGGTCAGTTGCCCTGTACTTCTTGTAGGAAAAAATCAGACATACTTTTCTTTTTTTTAAAAAAAAAAAAAATTAAAATTATTATTATTATTAAATTAAAGGCCTTGTGATGTGAGAGGTGATCCATTATGTGGGAATTCCTGATGAACTCGAAGCGGTCCCTCTTGCTGCCTCCACAGGTACCTCGACAGCACTGCGTGAGCAGCAATGTATGCATTTCCCCAGTTTGCTTCCCCGCCGCTGGGCGCTTCAGGATCCAATAAAATCTGTGCCACTGAGTATAATATTACACAATGCTTACACAAGTACACAAGAGACACCAAGTGAAAGAAGGCGGGTTTGCACAAACGCCACTATACATGCTGGTAGCCACGAATTGGGGAGTAAACTTATAAAACTGCTAAGGAATGCAAATGAAAAAAGAATTCACCTCTTTACAAAAGTTATAAAATATAAGCTCTTCATATAGATCAAAGCAGTCATATAGATAGGGATACACAATTTTGTGAAGTTAATACATAAACACGTACTGGGAACATATGTGCAGTGTAACTACTGCATTTGTAATTCACATGGGACTGTGCTACTGTACACCTCCAACTTGTTCCAGTTTTGTTTAATCTTTTATAATTTGTCATCTGTCTTGTTTGCCTGTACTTTATAAATTGACTTGTAACTTGGGGATCTAACCTTTATCAGGAATGAGCTCTTAAGCATTCAAATACTGGTACTAAAGCATGTTGATTTCTCCATAAAGTAAAAACTTTTGTTCAGCGCACTCAGACGGGAGCTCTTCGAAACCTCTGTGGCTAAGGGGATCAACAGAGAAGCCACCTGCAAAGAGAGACTAAAGTTCTCTTGAACTAGGGTTGAAACCACAGTGGCCAAACATCACCCCAGTTATTTACAGCAGCAATCCATCAGAGACCTGGTGGACTGTGGGGGGAAACTACACTTGCACATCAACCTCAGATAACTCTACGATCATGACCTGCAGTAAGACCAGCAGTGGTTACACCAGAGACACCAGTTCCAGCTGAAGAAGCTCCCGAGCTATGACTGGTGGGAGTCAGAGGCTGTTGGTGAAGAAGCACTCCTCAACATGTTCTTGTACTCTCTCTTCCTCTGGGTATCTGCTATTGGCCAAATTCTGGGGAAAGGAATACTTTGGTCCAACCCACTATCACCCTACTCATGTTCTTATGACTGTTGCCGTGCAATGTACTACACAGATTTACGGGGAAAAAGACGTAATTTTTAAATGGTTTGATTTCTTTGAGCCAGAGGTAAAATGTTATTTCATTACATCCTTCCTTTCTGCTTACATATTTTTAAAATTTGCGTTTTGAAAAACGGCCCTTAAAAGTATTTATATATGGAAGATGTCAAGTGTTTTATAAGAATGACAAAAATATAATATTATCCAAGTAGTGGAGACCAGAATTTGAAATATTTATCATAATAAAATAAAAAACAATAACTCCTTGATAACTGTATTTTCGGTATCTTCCCCAACAAGCATATGATTTGTCAACCAAAAAAAAAAAAACCAAACCGATTTTAGTATGAAAGAGCAAATTGGAATGCTTTCCTTACTATTAAAAGATGGTCAAAACCTCCTTTGAAGGTGAAAATGCGCATGCATTTCCTCTTAAAGAGCGTATGTGTCAATCACCAAGCTTTACTTATTACAGACTCCTCAATCTGATTAGATCAGTACTCCTTTTTTCAGTTTTCAACACTTTTAGATATTTCCGTATCAGTTTCTTTGGACACAGCCAGAAGTTCAACTAAATACACAATGTAAGTTAAACAATTTTTTGTTACCAACATTTTTTGTGTAGCAAGTCTTTTGTGCACAAATTAGTCAGTAAAGCACAATCCCGCCAAAATATAATCGGTTTCACGGCATCGGTAGAAGTTTCTCATTAGGTAACTATGGGAAAAACTCAGTTCTGCAAGCTACAGTTATGAAAAAAAGCAGTTTCTACTACTAAAATAAGAGACAAAGAATAAAATAAAGACTGGACCGAGATAGTTTTGATAAAACATTTGTATGGGCACAGGTACATGTGTATATAGATAGATAGATGTGCATATATATATATAAATATACCTTCCCCTCCTCAGCGTTTTGTTGACATGAATTGTGAACTTCTTCTTCTCTTACTAGTTTCCCAGGCCATGAAGTCAGTCCTTTGATTTGGCCCCAGACCAAGTCGCCAACATTAAACGTCCTCGGCCTGTAATGTATCAGCTCATTGGAAGAAGGGGAGTCTGGGTTCCTTAGGTCATCTTCGCTACTGATGCTTTTAGCATCTGAAGGGCTAGGCACACACCCATTAATGCTTTTGGCATTAAAATCTCCATTGTAATGGATATAGTCTTTAACTAACGAACTTTCCAAGCTATTTGAGGAACTTGGAGATTGCTCTTCCAGAATCAGGTCTTGTTTAGAAGTGTTCAGCAACTCCCCAAATCCTCTGTTCTGCTGAGGCCTATTTCCGTTTATGTGTGCACAGCGTTCCACAGTGTTCTCCAGTCTTTCCTTAAAACTCATCATAGTTCTTTTGTAATTGTTGTACCTGAAATTCTCCTCCAACACTTTATCGCTTTGACAGTTTCGCTGTGATAACAGTATCTGATGCTGCTCGCCTTGTAATAATGGCAGTGTGGAGATGTTATTGGGCCTTTCGTGACAAGGACTACTATGGATATGGGTAGAGTGCTCTAGAAACTCATCACATTTCCATCTATTTATCTCACTGACAGGACTTTGCTCCCCTTCCCACTGTTTTTTGGGTGTGTTACAACTTGTTGATTTGTAATATTCATACCCATCCCCTTCACTGGAAATTTTACCGTGCTCTGAATTCTTCAGTATTCGTGTTCCTCTAGTGTTCCTTATCCTACCTTCATGATCAGAAACGGCAACGTTTCTTCCATGGATTACCGCACTGACAGCACTAGAGAGATTTAATGGGTCACCAATTGAGGCTGTGAAGGCACTCATGGCACTCAAAGCTGGAATGGGACTCATTTGTGTTGTACTGCTAACGGCAGTGGTGATTACCACTTGCATTCCTTTGCTTGCAGCATCTACAACTGCTTTGTAGATAGCGTCCACCGATGTATCACCCTGAGCAGCGATATTGAGGTTATCCTTTGCCTGTTGTCCAAGAGATGCTTCAGTCCTTTGCTGCAAATCACAAGATGTTTCTTGGAAAGGAGGAAGCATAGTGTTGGAGCTCTCGGGAACTGGTGCCATTCCCATTTGAGTGATCATTCTTTTGTTTAGGACAGCAGCATCTTCCTGCATTCTCACCTGGAAAAAAAGTAGAGAAAAAGATGGGAATTGCTGTTCTGCCCAAAGTCCCATTTCAATAGACAAACTTTGCTTGGCTTTAATAAAAAAAAAAAAAAAAAAGGATGGTGGCCAGAGTGACTATTTGGTACAGTACCTAATTTTGTTTTGGTTATACATCAATTATGAAGTTTAATGCTGAACAAGCCAGACAGAAAGCAAAAACCAGCTTAATTTAGAGGAAAACAAACCCACCGGCTCTTAGCATTGCCTTGTGGATCAAAATAGATGCCTTGCATGAAATGATACAACCTACCATGCACTGCTGAGACTACATTATCATCGCTTTCAGAGTCTTTTCTGGGATTTCCTCTTCTGATTGAAGTACAGCACCCTCCTTTTTTTCTCTTAAGTCCTAAAAAACTCCAACAAGGTCAGGATTTCTGTTCTCAACTATTCTCTTTCATTCTTTCCCAGACCCTAATTTTGCTTCTTTCCTCCCTACCAACTGTTCTTCTGGGCTCCTTGTACGCTCCTCATTCAAGTTCTGGAACGTAGGCCATCGCTTTCCTTTCGGAATTGGCTAACATTTCTATTTTTCCCCTTTCAGTTATGTGCTTCTCTCATGGGATCTCTTTTTACTTCAGTCCCATGCCCACATCCCTTTCCGTCGCAGCTGTAATGTCAGGCACTGCCACACTAAACTCTAACCTTCAGATTAAAGTAACTGTGCTTTTTATATTTCTTGTCACATACGTAGGCAGTGAAGACAATGTCAATAATAGTGCTATAACAAAAAAAATGTAAAAACCATGGGTAAAATATTTCCAAAAAGCTCCTTTAAATACTTACCGTTACTATTTTTATAACTGAGAACCTGAAGCAAAAAATACCGAGATAAAGCTACCAAAATTCATAGGAAAACAACGAGAGGTAATAGGCAGTTAGAGGACTGTGATTTTTGCAATAGCAGTGAAACATCTACACTGAGAAAATGACACATCATCTTTTTCCTTCTTAAAGGGTAAAAGCACTTTCTGGCACTATCTGCATGCTTCTGCCTGCCCGTCTTGAATTCTGCAGCAACCACATAATACTGAATAATAATATATACGTATTTTAACTCTGGTTTTATTACCTATTTTGGTTGCTATGCTTCCTGCCAGTATGTTAGTTTGATAGTTCAACTCGCATTATGAAGAATTGTCTATTTGGATGGGTAACAGGGAGGTACCATTTTTGCACAGTTTGTCATCGTATATTCATTCCAACACCCGTTTTCTTCAGTCCGTACAATCCACACCACCGTGAGCTCTCCCATTCCGTTTCAGCGGGAATATAAAAGGACTGGCACACACGGTCACCTATAGTCATTTAGCAAGTTTCTCATTACTGTAAAGTGGTATCAATATTTATTGCTCACCGCTGAATCGTTAGAGAGGTCTAACCGGGAATTTACGATTATTTCTGTGGAATGGAAAACAGTTTTGCTAAAAATGCATAGTAATTGTCAGAACATACGCAGCGTATTTTTTCAATATGTGCAGCGTAACTCTTTCCAAAACAACTATACCCAATTTCTAAGGAAGAAGGTATAACATTTCAGTAACAAATGTTACTGCTTTGCAAAATCCCAAAACTAATGGAAGAGGCAAGCAATTGTATGGACCACATTGTCTCAATCACTCAGCAAAAAAAAAAAAGAGATCAAACTCTGGAGTATATAATTTGACCTACTGAGAGTTGCACATTTGTTTGAATATGGATTTCGTTTTGCTCTCTACCTGGAAATTTTGGAACAGACATGCCATGGGGTTTGGGTTGTTAGGCGGGCCAGGAATCGGGGGCTGGCCTTGAAAGCCCTGCATGTTCTGATACCCCTGGAGAAGGTGCTGCTGCTGATTTGAAGGAAACATCTGATTGTTGTTTAATAGCGACTGGAGATGACTCAGCTGATGGTTATTCAAAGTAGTGTTTATAGATGACATGTCACCTGTAATTCAAACACAGGGAAACACAAGTCAGTAGAGTTTTCAACAGTCAGGAGGAATTTCCTTGACTCAAATTTTAACTGACTGCTAAACAAACGCCTCTGTAAAACAACACTTTTCCCCTTCAATCTTCTATGGAATGGTCCTCAAGGCATGTGTCTCCTACTCTTTATTCCTTTATTTCTTCAGTATTGCTTCTTTTGCATGTCACATCTATCTGGGCTCTCTCTAAAGGTTTCTGACATGACTGTCTTTGCCTGTGGAACAGTCCACAGCCAAGTATGGCACAGTGAGCTTCTATGAGATTCGGTGTCTTGGAATCTTAGTTTCCAAAGAGTGACTGCTTCAAACAGTACTGGGGTGGTTGGGGGGGGGGAAGGAGGAGAGAGAGAGAGAGAGAGAGAAAAAGAAAATAATTTAAAAAATCCAACAAAACTAGTTTTTCATTAACTATGACAAAATAGTGCGAGCTAACTGCAAAGGAGCAAAGGCTTTCTGGCTCACAGACATGTCAGCCAATGCTCTAAACCATTTTTTTTTTTTTTTTACATTCTAGAGAAACAACTGCATTAACTTTTTGCATTACACAAAAATCTCACTTTACAGGAAAATGATAGTTCTAGTAAAATAAATACTCCATTGAACTTGACTTTAGGAAATAATAAAGTTTAAAAATGTATCAATTTCCTGGTTTGTTTGTTGTTTTGGGTTTTTTTAATTAAAAGCTCATGTTTTTCTTAAAATTGCCATTTGCAGAATCATTGGTTAGTTGTATTATACATGGAGAATGTAAAGTAGGGTTGAGTTCATGATAGCCATTTAGTAGGTAAGTAGGAGGTATTACGTTAAAATACTTATCAGCTTTTTGCCACTACTTAATTCCTCCTATCACTCTATTTATTAGATTACATAGATCAAAAAACAGAGGAGGTATTAACTGTATTATGTATTCTTGGTAAAAACCAACAAAAGACCCAGGAGGAAAAAACCTCATATTTAAGGCCTTTTTAATCACTTGCTTAGGGACGTAGGTGTTTCATAGAATCATAGAATGGTTTAGGTTGGAAAGGACCTTGAAGATCATCGAGTTCCAACCCCCCTGCCCTGGGCAGGGACACCTCCCACCAGCCCAGGTTGCCCAAGGCCACCTCCAGCCTGGCCTTGAACACCTTTGTCAAGTGAGATACCCTGGGTTTCTAAACTACAAGCTAAAGTAAAAAAATAAGAGAAATGCGAAAAATATAAATATAAATAGACAACGAAGGCTCAAAGGGCAACCTTCCTCTTTGAACTTGTGCAAGGACCTATTGCGAGTGCTTGATGGGTTACTTTATGGAGAGTGTGCTCACGGTTTTGGCACTTCTGATTCATTTGGAAAAATGCACTTGGCCATTTTTCATCTACTGCACAGCTACTCGTACTAACCCTGTGATGCCACATGCGCTTGAAACGAACCACCGCATTCCAGAGATGCACCTGTGCTTTTACTACTTGAAAAATGAAACAAGTCCAATTGCTTACAGAATTTTAAGGTGTATATAGTAGGTCTAGGTGGCATCAGGATTAAGAATGGAATATAAAATAATTTCCAAAACCAGTATTAAGTGTTACTGAGTTAAATCAGAACGTATTTTAAATTTCTCACAACGACAGTTATGTTTTTCTCAATAAACCAGCTGTAACATACAAAAGCCTTAAAAAAAAAAAGTATGATAAAGTGGAGTCTTTAAAAATAGAAACTAGAATCTGAAATTCCCCCTCCCCAACCCTCTTCCTTTTTTTTTTTTCCTTTTATATCTGTGAAGAAATTGAACTTACCAAGCAGACCTGTCCCCAGTAGAGGGTTAAGTAGCTGTGGCACCACAGAGTTATTGTTGAGTTTAGCTGGACCAGATGTACTCCCAGCATTATTAGATATGTTCAGCAATGTTTCTGCCATTGACACCACTGCTGTCCCACCACCCAGGGTTGAGACAGACAGTGCTGCCACTGCTGATGATGTAGTGGTTGTGGTAGTGGTTGCTTGGGAGGAGGTGGCTATGGAAACCTCTGGATGATTAGCGGTGTTGCCCGACGCGGAGTTCAGGACACCTCCCACCAGCTGGGGATTCAAGGCCATTAATGCTGAGGCCCCAGAGACAGCTGGGAGGAGCAGGGGGTTAGAAGTAGTGTCAGTGCCTGAAAAGCTCGGTATGGGGTTGCCCAGGGGGTTGGTTAAAAGGGTCTCCACCCTGTTGCTTTCTGACTGATTGCTCGGCAAATGGTCAGGTGGGGCTGTCATCTGGGTTACTGAGGGTAAAGGGTTATTTTGCTGTTGCAGCAAATCTGAGATGGTCAGATTGAAAGATGGCAGGGGGAGCATGGCAGCTGCTTGGGCTTGGTTCTGAAGGAGGGTCGCTAGAAGCTGAAAATGAACAGGTTGCAATACCTGCCCATCCACGTCACTGGAGAGAAAAGCTAAAGCAGCATTTACATTCGGGTTGAGAAAACCTAAAGGGTTGAGGTTGACCTCAGACTTGCCTTCTCCTTTAGTATATTTAATAGATTCTGGTTTAGGAGATGTTGCTGATTCACTGGCAAAGAGATAGGTAGAGAATTGAGGAGGTTTTGATTCAAAGAATGTGGAAGATTGTTGTTTGAAGAGCTGTTCTGCGGAAAATGAAGCGAGTGTTCGTGGCCAGCAAAAGGGAAATCGCTCCCGATGGGCAGCTGGCTCTGAAGCGGGTTTCCAGCTGCAGTAGTGACTATAACACCGTCTTGAAGCACAGATGTTGTCTTTGTGATGGCAGGTTGGCTGGTGCCAGCTATGGCTATTGACGATGATGGTCCTGAACCCCCTGCAGTGCAAAAGAACAAAACTATTAATAGAATACTGCCTGTTGGGAGACAGTCATCCAAGTGATAAAGTAACCGGCTTAATCCAAAACAGTAACGTCTGATACCCATGAAGAGGAAAGCAAACGTTTTAAGCATCCAGACTTGAGTACGTTTAAAACATGAATGAATCTGCCATCACCTACTTCAGACACTACGTGCTGTGCCGTAGCTCATCAGAAATTATTTAACTATACACACCTATTTCCCTTTCATTTCTTTGAGTGGGAACACAAGAGGATTTCATTCATTACATATCTTCATTAGCATAAACCTAAAAGCAACCCCATAACTTAATATAGTTAATTGTGAACCAGTATGAAATTAACTACTAGAAGAAGGATCAATGGGAGACATGAATGATGTTGGGTGAAGGAGTGTGAGCACATGATCTAAATGTCAATGTGAACCTTATGGTCTTCCATTTCCATCTCTATTCCATTAATGGGGTTTGGGAGAATTATTATTTAAAGCATTACTTTGGACTTCGGAAGAAAAAAATACAATGATGGCAATTACATGTCATGATGATGCCTCTGACAAAATCCAGTGAGCAAAATACACTATGATGAAGATAGATTAGCAGACAAAAAACCCCCAACAATTTATAAAAAAATGTAGATTGGGGTGGCCCAGTCATATCCAGCCCTTGGCATGAAAAGAAAGATCAACTCAGTGGATTTACCGTGAGGTGGTTACATGGAAAAAGTGAGGGAATAATAAAGTTTATTTGGCTATCTTTATAGCCCTTTACCAAAGTTGAAGTACAAAATAAATTATCCGTTGTCTTTCATGTAAGACAGAGTCTTGAACTGGCAGTGGTCATACACAAAAAAACATATGAGAGGAGACTAGGGGAACTAAAGCAAGTGAAAATGTCTTGAACTATGCTTTTCTACTTTATTCATTGCGATTCATTGAAGAACAAACATTAAAAATATGTATTAAAATTATATATTGCATGTATATACAACTGCATAATTATAAATGTATTTAACTATGGCTTTGATGCAATATCATCATTTTCCATTCTCAACTGCCCTGCAAATATAGCTATGATAAGAGATCAGAATGTATCGATTATCAGAAAGTATCAATTGCCATTCTTCTAAACAAACACTAAAAAAAGGATGCGCAACTATGCTGTTAACTGGTAAGAAGAGAATCAAATCTTTACATCATTCGTAACTCAAAATACTATTTTTCAACTACTGTAACATTATGACAACTCAAAAAGGTACAAAATTAACGCAGTCCATGAAGCACTGCATTGAATTCATGAGAAGAAAGAGCACACCCTCTCTCCCAGGTACCATTATCACATTTCAGTACCGAAATTAAATAATAAATTAAGAAAAGATAAAGTAAGAACAAACTGTAATCATAAAGCAGAGGATATCCTACTCTGCTGTGATGAGAAATATGTTAACAAAGCAATAAAAGCAGTTTCATGACAAGAACATTTCTCTAGGAGGCAGTTTGGAACAAAAAAAAACCAGATACGCACTTGAGGAACAAAACGCCAACCATGCACTGAAAAATATACGTCCCATCAGACTTCCACTTATGGTTTTGCATTTAACATTTCAGATTGGGCAGGAATAGCAAATGCTCTGTATCTTGATCGCCCCAGGCCTGGCAAATGTCTCATCCAAACCCGAGAAACGGGTACCCACGCCCTCCCCGGCGCTCTAGCTCAGAAATACAGACTGCCAAATTATAGACACCTTCCTGATAAAGTCAACAAAAAGCTGCTCATCAGACAAGTCGCTCAGAAATTATTCAAAACTAAGACAAAGCTAATAACTGCAAAGCTATCGCTAGAGGTGAATGAAACCCACAGCTATGGCAAGTAAGTTTGTTTTCTGCCAATGTATCTGTCCTGCTACTGGCTACCTAATTCTGGAGAGAAGCCGCCTCTGGCGATGCCTCCGAAATGGAACGTAAGAGGAAAGATTCTCTTAAGCACGTGTTTACACATCAAGGTGTACACGACCCACTGAGATGGTGTGTTAAAAAGATTTTTCATGTTTTTTCACTTTTTTTTATAAGCCAAGATTTTTATAAATAAGCCAATAGTAACACAGTTCATACAAATGAGCGGCATAACATAAAATTAAATTGAATGTGTACGTTTGCTATTTATTTTTAACACACATCCGTAAACTCTGGCTACTCAAATTCAATTATACAAATCCCAGAGAACCTAAACTAAAACATAACTGCACGTTGTCCCTTTTTTACTAATCTCTGAAATATTTTAAACTCAGTTTTAAGAAAATAGAAAAGTATTTACAATCTTTGTGGCTAAAAGCAAATTCTTTTTTTTTTTTTTTCCACCAGAGAAAAGAACACACACCCGCTTATAACAGTTTCAAACTCTCAGGGCAGGCTTGTAATGGGTCAGTATGTCACACATTGCCCCCAGTGATACACATCATTAACTATCAGGTACCTGTTTGCTTGCAAAAAAAGGGAATTTTCCATTTTTTTTTTTTTTTTTTTAAAATCAGTATCCAGAACTGACACTCCAAGAATTTAAATATTAGGAAAAGCCCCAAAGACCCAACTGCAGATTTAAGAAATACCATTACAAAGTCATTCCTACGTGGTTTCAACAGAAGGATCGGCTCCACCACTCAACTGACACACGACGGATACCGACCGTACTTAAAAATACATGGGGCCTCTTAAATAACGTTGCTTGAAAAATTGCTCGCTGAAGCAAAACTCTGTCACTGCGCTTTGAGACACACTTCACGTTAAGGTTCTCTAGTTGTAATCTAGTTTAAGATGGACCAGGTAATACCGGAACATCTTCAAATGGCTATTCCTCCCACTTTTAAATGACTTTCCACGCAAAATCCTGCTGTCCTATAGATAAAAGCAGGTTCCCATCAGGCTAGCCCGACCCGCAGGATCAGTCTGATACACTGGAGTTTCTAAGGCACGAGATCGTTTCAGGCAGTATTTTTCTGGAAACTCTTTACTCCTGCACCAGGGGAAAGGCAGATACACGAGCTTTTTCCTCGACGGCTAAGAAAGGCTCCCCTCGCTAGCAGAAATCCCATTCAATGTGTTGAGCAGCACATAGATAGATTTTTCATTCAAACATCAGGCAACTACTCTAGATATAGAGCTCTCATGAATAGAAAATCTATTTTTTTTTTTCTCAAGTGGACCTCATCTCTATTTCTAATTTATTTATGATCCTATTTTCCATTCCACTCAGGTAAATGACCACACAAAAGAGTATCTGGTGTGAAGTGCATCTCAAACTTGTAAAATTGTTGCTAAGTTTTTGTCAAACGCTGCTCTGACTTCTATTCCCAGTCAAACCAGCTCCTGGAGATCAACGCGAGCGGTCTGGAGCGCGTTCAACACTTGCCTTTTCTCCAGATTACTTAGGCAAGTAATTAATTGTTACGGGGGGTGAAAAAATCTTGACGGATTCTGAGCAGGAGGAAAAAACGTGTCCTTATTTCAATCCAGACTTGAGAAGTT